ACTATGATCTAATATATATATTCAAAAGATTTGCCACTCGAATAGATATGCCATATTTTGTTTTTGATAATTAGCATACGGAGTTAAATATTTCCTGATCTGATCACTTGGCACTTGCTGATGGGCGAGGATTCAACATCGCGAAGCTTGTAGAGACATGGTAAAACAGATAATGGAATACCTATAGAGTAATTGCGACATTGTACAACTTTAGAAAAAGGTCAGGTTGTTGACAAGTTTGTAGCGCTTCATAATACGACTTTTCTTTTATCAATATTGTTAAAACCAAATATTTTTCATAAGTCAGAATAGATATATTTCTCTCTTTTACACAATACGGATAACGATGTCAAGTAATAGACTTCATATAAATGCGGAAACTTCGGATTTAAATCTGAGAGTTATGTGTACTTCAAAAAGTGAATGAGACAGATGAGTCGTTCTTGAATATGGGGATATAAAAATTATTCTGGCAAACCTTATCTATAAACACTTGATTTCTATTGGCTACTGCTCAACCAATAGGATTTGGGGATGAATACAGAGAAGATTTGAACTCTTCACCTTGATTTACCCTAAGAAAGTCGTTTTTCCTATAACTTGATTTCTATTGGTTACTGTTCAACCAATGGGATTTCGAGGCGAATAGAGCACAGATTCGAGTTCTCCACTCCAGAAAACCTCGAACTATGATCTCTGTGATCGAAAGATAGAGCTCTATTTGTGGATCAATTAGAGCGTGACAAAAACAGAACCGAATTCCGATTAATTATCTTTGCAATAGCTGAGTTGGCTTTCTTGTTTCCTTATGTTTTATATACCACTTTGTAGCTCGTGAAATTCTCTATCGAATGGTATATAATAGTTGGGGTTTTAGTTGACTATGATAGGAAAAGTCTTTTACGAAAGTGGGGATGGGTCGATCTTTCCATCGGGAAGGTGCAGGGAAAAATGAGTATTTTTGCAATAACTCAGGAAGGGCTCGGCCAATTCTTCTCATCTTCGAACTCGACCGAGACATTGTTAAGACTGAACTGTGTAGAAAATTTCATCGCGATTGGACTCTCCTTTCAAAAGTTATCGTGTTAACGGCCGGACGGACGGACATACTGACCGATTCTAGAGTGTACTCACTTTTTGAGTACACAAAAAAGATGAACTTTCTACTAGAAGTCGTCGAAAGACTTTTGAAAGAGTAAGACATGCAAGAACACTTCGTGAGTGTTCATTTTGTCGTATTGAATATGAAATTAGCGCGTATATAGTTTGTCCGACAGTCATGTACGTAGCAGATTCCCAACTATTATATACTCGAAATAAGAAAAGAAAACTAACGGATGCGTCAGATTAAATGGTCGCGCTTTGCATTTCAATTTTCATTTACTTAATATATTGTATTGAAGAAAAATAAAGTATACCACAAGATGCAGCGTGAAAAGCTCGACAACATACATAACATCTTTTTTTTATTCTTGCGAAAATTGGTGGCACAGAATTTTGCTTTTTTTGAAAACAAAAAGTGCAACTATAGAAAAAGCGTTCTTATGTATAGTGTAGAGTTTTTTACGCTCTATTTTGTGGTATATTTTGTTTTTTTTTAATACAATATATTAAGTGAATGAAAACTGCAATGCAAAGCGCGGCCATTCAACCTGGCGCGCTCGTTATTTTATTGATTTTGAAAACCTTTACAAATTAGAAATCAATACTAATGATGATAAAAGGAAATCAATGATCATCGAGAGTGCCTATTAGAAATATATATTAGAAATGTGATATTCAATGAATTTGATATGTAGCATAATTAGTTGTCATGATTTTCGACAATAATTCTTATCTTCCGAAGTTCTTTGTAAACTTGGTTAGATTTATGAACTTGCCTTCTTAGTGTTTCAATTTTTGCATTCTAAAAGACGTAAATCTCTGTGTGTGTTTAATATTGTATGCATATATTCATTTAATTATTTCACCATTATTGTGAATAGCTAATAATAGAATCTACTCAAGTACGTCTTTCACATGATAACTACAGTTTATAAGATTCCCTAAATCGAGTACTTAGTAAAACTGTTAGGTATTGAGATTTATTGACGAAGTTATTGTCGTTAAAAATATTCTTATAACACTTGTTAGTATTCTATTTCCAATCTATATTTACTTTATTGTTCTATTAATTCACCACCTGTCTTTGATTCACAATAATCAATATTAATAAAAAACACAAGTTGAAACAACCTTTTAGGCAAGTGTGCAACATATTACAATAAATTATTTTTGTTCATGTCATCAACCTTGCACAACAATTAACATTACAAAAATCATTCGCCCATGACCAACAAAAAATAGACGAAAGATACCTGTTAATATGCTATGTCAGTAAGATACAAGCATTTATTTCCTATCCAATAAAAATCCTTATAACAAGTTATACGTAACATTTATCGTATATTAATATTACTACAGTTTTAATCTATTGTCTTGCAGTATCAGCTGATGGTCCATTATCAACTAAATCACAAATATCTAATGAATGAATAAAAGTAGAAAACTAAACGAAGAAGAGTTCTATGTTCAATTTATTTTCACATCAAATACAGATATTTGAATAAACTTTTTAATTATTGTTGCATGATCATTTTGTATACAATGAAGGTTTTTATGAGTTTTCATATATTTTAGTTGAAACTTTATTTTATCTTCGAGAAATCAATCTTCAAAGCTATTTTCTTGTTGAATTATATTCAATCAATGAATTCGATACTAGAACGATAAAACAGAATTCTATTATTGGTTCGAGAAAGACTATTATCTTATCATCTTCATAAAATATAATTTGGCTACAGCTATTTTCATATTAAGATCACATTGAATTGTTGGCGTTGAATTCTTAAAACCACCAGATTTCAATCAAATTCGATCATTAATACTTTGACTAATATTAAGAAATACTCGACGAAGATATTTTTTCTTCAATTAAACTTGGTTCTTCAACTATATCAAATATTGACATAGCGTTATTCGTCAAACTAAGTGTACAAAAAAAAGCTGGTTAACACCAATAAAGATATTACTTGTTTGTTCATCGAGAATATGTTCGAATAACTTCTTCTTGAATACAATGATGATAAATATTCCACTGTGACCTAGAAAATTGATTGAAATTAATATTTCATGAGAGAGAGAATAAAACTCGAATACCATCTAGTTTGAAAAATTCCTAGTCATTTATACTATAGTTTTGAGAACTTCATTGTATCTTAATGCTTTAGAATCACTATCGTTTTTCATGGGCTAGAAAAAGTAGTGTTAGGCTAGTTGCGTATGATGTACCGCGCATTTAATGAACAAAAATGGAATCATATTGCCTTTAAAAAAAAAGATAATGCTATTTTTAACTACAGGTATTCTATCTTCAAGGAAAAAACTTTTCAATATAGTAGTATTATAAAGAGTACAATTGTTCCCGATTTGAGAATTGTCGATTCATTATTAAAAACCATAAGAAACTAACTGTTTCTGACTACTTCTCAGTTTGACTTCATCAGGATCGCAAATTTCTATTGACTTTAGGGTGTGAATTTCGAACTATATTCTTGACTGTTGTGCAAAATATGAATGCTTGATAAGCAAATACTAGTAAATCATATAATTTTTAGAAGCTATACACATATTTAAATCAACTCAAAAACTTCGAAAAACTAGACTCCGTCATCATAAAATGATCAAACGGTTCAATAATGAATCGATATACATTTTAATGATCATTCTTTCCTTATTCTTTTGACTAGAAATTCAATGGTAAGCTCAATCTTATTTTAAAAAATTATTTTGTTTTCTTCTATTTACACATATCTTAACAATCAATGTAATGGTAAGTTTAATCTTAAAAAATAAATTATTTCTTTCTCTATAAAGAATTCTCTCAACAGTAAAGAGGCTAGATACGCTGCTAATAAAATAAATATTATATTGCTTTCTGAGGTTTATCAAAAAGTGAAATTTGAAAGATAAAATAAAAAATTTTCTGTGTGTTTTTTTGCAAAAACGAACTTCTACAACTTTTGTTCTGACAGTAAAGACAAAGGCACTTCCTTCTCTCAGCTATAAACGCGAAACTTTTTAAAAATTACTTACTGTTTAATCTATTGTTTAAATTGATCTAAATAAAGAATGATTTGTTTTTATAGAATTACTTATCATTGTATATGTTACCGAATTCAAAAAGAGAAGGCTATGCATTTAATAAATGCAACTCGACTGATGACTAACTACGACTGCACATGATGATTGTTTTTTGACGTATTTGGTAGTATACGACCATTTACGGTGATACTTTTTTCGACCTGAGTAGAAGAGAAGGTCAGGCCTTGCAAATTTTGTGGCATGTCCGAATAAATGCGTTTAAAGCTGTCATAATACCGAGTCTCATTGTCAAGAGATTCAATTGGATTAGGTCACATAGTGAGATTTTCAATAAAGCCTTGATTAAAACAGTAAAACTAGACACGATGTGTTGCATAGATCGGCTTTTTTTTGTCCAGACTGGGCCATTTTTGAAAACAGGAAATGGCTGTTTATGAGACTTGTAATCTTCGTCCTATGTAGATATATTTAGTAATTGATTAGTTCTTGTTTGTATATAAGCTATTTTCATCGAATATCAAGATTCTAGTTAACCAGTCAGCTTCAAATTATTTGTTCGATAGTATCATATTAATTGTAATATGACGATCATTATTAATAATGCAATAGACATCTTTTCTTCAATTTTTCATATAAAACAAATGTAAATTTAAAAAAAAACAATAAAGAAAGAGTTAATCATGCTTCTATACTTATTGGCGCCTGCTTTGGTCGAAATGTTAAAAAAAGACAATTTGTAATCCTATTTCGGAATCTATTTATTATCGAATGAAGAACTAAATTTTGCTTATTATTAAAATTGAAATATGCAATATTTACAAATGATAATAATACTATAAAAAAAAATTTAACGAACAATGAATAATATCATTCAATATTCATCACATATCGATAATTCTAATACATCAAAATCTCTATTATCATTAGAACGATTTTCTTTTGAACAACAAATTGATTTTGATTATAATAGTTCAATACTTAATCTATCACAAACAAAACGTCTTTTTTCATTAATTGATTCACCTATATTAATTAGTAGTAAAACAACATTACCAACATTAACTGTTATACCATCAATATTTTTAATACGATTAAAAAATGAAGCACAACAACGAGGTTTAGATTTACATGATATAAGATTAAGTGGTGGTGCTGCATCATTTGTACTTGATCCAACAGGTGATTTAGCTTTTCGTGATTTAGATTTTTTGATATCTGTAAATGATGTTACAACAGAATTAAATTGGTCGATTATAAAACAAGCCGTATTTGCTTCATTACCATTATCAAATCAAGAAAATCAACATTTATGTACAGAAATTTATACAGATAAAATGATACGTATTATAAATGAATATGATCGTTGGGGTTTAATATCATTACGAAATGCTGATGGTCGAAATTTAGAATTAGTAAATTAGAATGAAAAAAACAACTAAATAAAATTTTACTTTTATTAAATTTTAGAAATTTGTTGAACATATGAAACGACAATATCAATTTTCAGTTGATTCATTTCAAATATTACTTGATCCATTATTAAATTTTTTTTATTTAACACGAAAATTTCATTCAAATTCAATTAATTTTCCAACAATAATTGTTCTATCAAGTTATGGAAATTTTTCTGAAGCTTTACAACATTTACATTATCGTTTAATAGATGTTAAAACACCTGAAGAATTACGTGGTGGTGGTCTTTTAAAATATTGTGATTTAATTGCAAGAGGTTTTCATCCAACAAATCATATACAAATGAAAGATTTACAACGTTATATGTGTTCAAGATTTTTTATTGATTTTAGAGATTCATTAACACAAGAACAAGTTTTATTTAAATATGTAACTAGTCATTTTGGAACAGATTATGATGTACGTTATAGATTTTTGCGTTGTTTATATGATGTTATATCAACGGATAGTGTTTGGTTAAGTGGTTTTGAACGTATATGTTTTTTACGAACTATTTCAACAATGAGTTCATCTATAATGCCACTTAAATTAACAAGTAATGGTTAGTATGAAGTCATATTAAAAACGAGAATTATTGATTTTTATTAATGAGAAAGTTTTCTAATTTTGTATGGGAACATATTTTATCGAAAATTATATCTATATGTTAGATTTTGTTTGAAGAGAAACGTTAAATTTTCTATGAATAAAATTCAATTAATAATGATTGAATAAGTTGATCATTTATTGTTAATTTTCATCATTCTAAAAGAGATGTCAATTAGACCAAAAATATGAATATAGACTGAAAGAGCAAACATTTCTGTACAAATTATGTAGTGAAACAACATTTTAAGAATGAAGTTAATGATAAAGCATGTAAATTTTTTACCAAGGCCAGAAATAGGCTCCTTGCAATATAAGTATTACAGAAAGAACACGCGTAAAAGTCTTTAGGTATTCAGGATAAAATGTTATTCCTAATGTTAATTTTCTTATTTGAAAAAACTATATGAACTTCTTAATGAAAGATTGAATTTTATCCGTAGGAAAGTATTATTTCGAGAATTCACTATGCATGTACAGGATCAAGTTGTTTTGGTTCCTGCCTCCCATACGGCTAAGGCAAATTGAAGAATAGATATTTGTTAAATTCAATAAATTAGTTAATATTTTGAAAAAAAAAGTCATTCTAACATCTCTATATTTAAAATAATCAAATTTCATACTTAGATAAAACTTCTCTTGTTAATATTTGAGATGACAAAAAAAAAAGTTAGACATAATGATATAATCATTAATGGCCGGAAATTTGTTAGAATTATTCATTTCCTTGTCCTACTTCACAGTTGAAAGAAGTTTATTTCTATTTGATAAATATTTATCGAAGATAAATCGCTGAAATTCTAATTTTACAAATGAATCAAATCTTTTTTTTTTATTCATATAAATTTAGTTAAACCATTACTACAATCGACTTGTATTTATTCATCAAAGAAATCATTTCCATCATGTAATTCAGCAACAAAATATTCCTCTATATCATCGCTATCCAATTCAAGTTTGAAAAATAAAAAAAGAAACAAAGAAATGATTTCATTTTCTTTTATAGAACATCAAACACCATCTGTACCTTCATCAAATACTTTAATTAAATCATCATCATCATCATCATCATCAGAAAAAGCAGCAAATCTTGTTCTTCTTCCTTCATCACCAATGACATCTTTATCACTCGAACAAATAGATATATTTGTTCAAATAGTCAATAGTCTTCGTACTGAACTTTTTCCTAAACTAAATAATTTTTTGTCCTCAATGTAAAATATTCAAATATGTGTAAAAAAAAATCCACATCCCACGCACACACACAATTTCCCATTGAAAGAATCATGTTTTAACAATGTTTGACAACAAATATCATTATTTTACATACATGAACATAAATTAGACATTGAGAAAAATGAAATTTTTCTCTCTGTCAACTTGATATTTGATTTAATGAACAGATGGTTTTATATACTATCGTTCCTATCCATATCTGATTAAAGTTACCTATCTATTTCTATTTTGAGCGTATTAATCTATATAGAAGTGAAGGTAGAGAACATGAAAAACAAATATTGACCGACGGCAAGTCTCATACGAAACCTTCATTACGATATCGATTACTTATTCTCTCGAACATATGAAGGTTTACTATCCGATTACATACATTACATAAATGGATCTTCAAGTAAGTATATAAAAAGAAGAAAAAAAATCGAATGAATCTATCTTTTGTATTTATTTATGATGTTAGCATAAAAAGGAAATCAAATGTAAATTTTAATCATCTTTTTTTTTTTTTTTTTTCATACAATACAATTGATCGATCAATTGAATGCGACAAACGGAACTTGCTTTATCTTGAAAAAGAGTAGACAATGAATGTCTTATTTACTCTGAACAAACGTCTGACTCAACTACTTCTTCTTTCGTCACGATCTAAAATTGACGTATGATGATAAGGTGTGACCATAGTTTATTCTTAGTTATTTTTAATGAACAAACTTTTGTTTTTTTGCTATATGTGTGCATGCTTAAAATAGACGAGAGAAAAAAAACCATATGGTAAATGTTCTCGTACATTTAAATAGGATTTTCTTTTTTTTTTGAACATTAATCAATATTCCGCTAGCATTTTTACAGTTTATATTGAAAAAAAAAACACTTGTTTGTTGTCGGCAGATGATCAAAAATGATTGAGATGTATAACAAAAAAAAAAAAAAAGCGTTGAATCACTTTACCAAAGAATGTTTGTTCTCACTTAGTCGAGACTCATCATCATCATCAACACTATTGCAATATTCGAATAGTTCTTTGATCAAATAGAATATTATTCTTATGACTTGACATTATTGATTTTCTCAAGAATTAGCCGTTCATTTTTAATTATGCTTTTTTAAGAGCTTTCTCTTTTTTTTTTTTTTTTTGGGTTTTTGATGTTCATCAAAAAAAAATCAAATAACCTAATAGATAAACAAATATTGACAAGTGAAAAGTAACATTAAAAGAAAAAAAAAAAAAGATCTCTTTTTATGTTCTTCAACAATAATTTCACTCATTCTGATTAGAAATTTTGTCACGTACAATGAAATCTTACAAATACTTCTAATCAAGTCATTCGTTCAACTTCATTTAATGGTATAGAAGAAGAAAAAAAAAATTTGAATAAAAGTGAAAGATTTTCTTTTTTGATTCTCAAATTACTTTTGTTCGTATACGACATATATTTATCTTAGACAATCGTAGAGGATTTGTTTTTCTTCATCGTGTCTTACACATATTGCCCAAATATAAATGATGATGATGAATAATCATAATTTAGGTTTTGTAATTTTGTTATTCGAAAAATCAACAAATATAATATTTATTAATAATGACAAAATTATATCGAATACAAAATATTTTAAATTAACTTTCACTTCAATATGTGTATATATATAAATATATATGCATGATTCACGAGCACTAAACACATATTATTTCTTTCGTTCTCTTAACTTAAATTTACTTTTGAAATGAGAATCAAAAAAAAAAAAAAAAAAAGAAGAGAGAACAATAACGATGAGAAAAAGAAAAAAGAAAAGTAAAACTACACCATGTATATGCAATATTCACGTTCATTTTGAACATATTTCGTATTATACATCAAATCAAACTTAACATATATAAAATTCTTGATCAATCTATCAAAACAAAAAAAGAAAAAACCATGCAGGTGAGAGTATAACCATATCTAATAATAATAATAATAATAATAATATATTTCTGTCACACCTATACGATTATATTTAAAAATTAATCTTCGTAGTTTCACATATTTTTATAATCCAATAGAATGTTTGAACGTGATTATTCAAGGTATTCAGAGCTTCTTCCTCAATTTGCATTCAAACGTAAAAAGAAAAGCGGAAGTGGAACAAAACAATGTAGTCGTTCGTCCGTTTTTTTTTAACCTACCGATATATATATATATATATATATATACAAATACACACGTCAAGGCGGGATTAGAGACAACGACGACTACTTTTATATTTATTCAATTTGCTCACGCATATACTGAAGATGACCATCGCCCCTCATACAATATATATACATTCTTGTTAGAGATATGGCAAACATCGAAGCTATCACGCTCTATGACAATGTTTATCAAAAGGATTTATTCGTTTACATGCAAATCATGTCAGGGTCATCTCAAAAAAAGAAAAAGAAAAAAATAATACTAATAATTATATCATTGAAGATCCGTTTTATAAAAACGAGAATATAAAATAAACAAATACTATTATCACAGTTACTTGAAAATTTGAAGAAGAATTTATTGCCACTTATACACATTACATTTTTGTCAAGTATATAATAAATTCATTTTCTCCTACTTCAACTATGATCACATCGTTTTCAATCAATCTACTCATCATTATATTTTTTTCCCAAAGGATCTTTCTTGGTTTTTTTTTTTGTTTCTTTTTTATTTAATTCAATATTCTATTAATTTTGATTCGTTTATGATTACGCTAAAGACAAAAAAAAAAAAGAATACGATTGGCCAATAGAAAAATAACATTACTATTGGATGAAGGTCGTAAAAAAAACTTAATTCTCTCTTTTTTTCTCTCTGTCTCTCTATTAAATTAATAACTAGAGACTGCGTCAACTTTTTTTTTCCTCTCTTCTTCCGTCCGACAGATGTAAAATCTACATAGGAACCAATATTATTCTAGCAAAAAGAAGAAAAAAAACGACAACGCACGAAGCAAATATTGTTTCCATTTATTTGTAACGCACAAATATATACACGCGCGTGTACACACGTATCGTATACATAGAAAGACTTTTTTTTTCTTTTTTCAAGAAAATTAAAACAAAGTAAGAGAGAACAGAGAATAGACTATAAAGTACATATTAACAAAACTAATATAAATAATTTTATTGACAAAAAAGATTTTTTTCTTTTATTATACTTACAGTTCCATGTCATCATCATCATCAACATCAAAACCATCAAGCAATTATCAAACAAATTGTTGTTATCAACAATCACCATATGGAAATAATGTTGGTCAATATTCACTTATACCAACAGCACATCATCATCATCATCAACAACAGCTAGTCAATAATAATGTTCAATCAATTTCACCAACATCTTTATCACTTATTTATGGTAACCAACAACAACAACAACAAACTAATTCATCAAATATTCTTCAAACACGTTACCAAAATGAACAAATAAATGATAAAACAAGTAACAGTTTAACACCAGTCATAACTAATGGTCAACAACAGTCAATGATAAATCCTTCTACAACATTAACAACTAGTGCAAATTTTAGAAGAAATTTTAATGCATGTGCTAAACCACCATATAGGTAAATGAGAATTATTTCAATAATAGATATTTATTATTAAAATTTTTAGTTATATATCATTAATTACAATGGCAATACAATTATCAGCAAATCGTATGTGTACTTTAGCGGAAATTTATCAATTTATTATGGATTCATTTCCATATTATCGTCAAAATCAACAACGATGGCAAAATTCAATTCGTCATTCATTAAGTTTTAATGATTGTTTTGTCAAAGTACCACGAAGTCCTGATAGGTAAATTATTTGAAAACAAAAAAAACAAATTTCTTTTTCCCTCTTTTTCTATTTTTATTTCTATAGACCAGGTAAAGGTTCTTATTGGGCTTTACATCAAGAAGCAACAAATATGTTTGAAAATGGATGTTATCTTCGACGACAAAAACGTTTTAAATGTAATTATTATTATTTGTTATTTTCAGGATGTCCCGAACGGGAAATGACCTTCCTATCTTAAAAAGTTTTCGTTTTTCTCCAGCTTTTTATTGTTTCTTTCACTCACTAGTTACAAACCTTCCCCTCCCAAGTCTGGTTAACTTTAACAAACATCTTCTAAGCGATCTTCACTCTCGCAGTTCTAGTGATCTCAAGATATCCCTGCTTATTTTTCATAGTAAAAGAATTTATTATTTTTTTTTGTAGGTAATAAGCGTCTTGAACATGATCGTGATTCAAATAATAATAATCGACGTAATGGTATAAATAATAGTCTAGATAAATCAACAACATCAACAGGTAGTGGACAACGAAGTCCAATTTCGTCAGCATCTGATAAATCATGTGATGATCAATTATTACTTATGCAACAACAGCAAAGATCTATATATATGCAACAACAACAACAACAACAACAACAACAACAACAATCATTAGAATCACCAGATTCTCGTAATTTACAAGTTCCAGCATTAGCAACAAATGTCGATGTTAAACAACTTAAACAGGAACAGTGTGATTTTAATCAAATGTCATTTGATCCACATACATTTCCAAATTATTCACCATTTGCTATAAATACACTTATTATGCATCAAGGTTTTGGTGATAATCCAGCAGCATTAAATGCTTATTATGCATCACAATTACCACAAACAGCTTTTGTTTCATCATCATCATCAGATTATTATCATCATTCAGCAATGTATGCATCACAACCGACTACTTTGTGAAAATTAAAAAAAAAATATCGAGTTTTTTGTTTTGTTTTCTTTCTTTCTTTTTCTTTTTTTGCATATGCCGACATGTAGATATTTGATACGCATAAAACATTCCATTCTAACCTGCTCTATTGCTTGATTTTTCTTTTTTTTCTCTTGCTGCATTCTTACCCTTTGAAGCAATTTTTTTTTCTTATTGTTCATTGTCAATTCTATTTACAACATTATAATAAAAAGAATTCTATTTTGTATTTTGTTTTTAGTCTTTATTTGAAAGAAATTTATTGTCAGTAAAGGTTAATATATCAATGATATGTACAATTACACGAAATTATTTGATACGTAATAATTTTTTCTTAAAAGTTTAAATAAGATGATCAGGAAAAAAGAATTATACTATTTACAGAAGCTTGTATTTTCGTATTAAGTTTATCAATACTAGTCTTGAATTAATCAAGATATACGTAAAAAATTTTAAATTTCAAATAAGATGATAATTAATCAAATATTCTAACAAATAGTCTACCTAGGTAAATATTATTTTATCGCAAAAAAAATGTATGTCAATGGTTGATTGTTAAAGAATAGCCATCAGATATTTGTTCGATGTCAACTTAAAACTTCGTCATTGTTCTTCTTATACAATAGATCAGTTTAATGTAATCAATTTTAACAGACAATTGAAATAGAAATGTACAAGGTTATTCTATCCTATCTTGCAGGATAGGATAGGATAAGAGTTAGAAAATTTTTTTAGTTAGAGCAAAGGATACGAAAACAAAAGATTACCTTGTACATCTTTACATAGAAATAATTGAATTCTATTTTTATAAGTCCTAGCAATCATTTTTTCGGGCATTTAACTTTGCATTTTTGAATTTCTAGATGAATATTATTAATATGTGACTTAATAGATTCCAAAATGTTTGCTTTGGCTTGTTAGAATCTATCCTTGACTTTTCTAATGTTGTTTAACAGTAGGACATCATTTTTATTTTGATCATGTCATCTTCATAGTAAAAAATGTATACGTATAGATGCACCAAATGATCAAAAAAAATCATATGAAATTAGGATGAATAGTTCAAATAACACTTAGAAGTCTTGTAAACTAAATTTTTAATAAGACAAAGATTGTGTAAGACGATTTAAAGTTTTCCTTCTATAATTCTATCATTCTTGTTGTGTCGTAGACTGTAGCCGTGAACGTCGTGTCAGAAGTCAAAACATGACAATGTCTTTGTTTGCTGACTCGCAAAATATATCTTTGACATAGATGTCAGTTATCGTTACATTAGTAAGAAAAAAATCGCTATTTTGTACTTTCCGACAAGCAAATGTCATAGAGTACATTGATATATCAAGAAGAGTATTTCGGTCGCGGAAACCAACACATAAGTTACCTAGATGACTGTATTTTATTAGCAAGTAGAAACAGAAAAAGTAAATTAAAAACAGTACACAACATTATTTTTGTGGTATCTTTTCGTATGTTGGTACAATGCGAAACTGATTGTACTTCAATTACATATATGTATTTATCTTTTTGAAAAAGTCGGGTGATTGTGAGAAAACTTTGCGGCATAATTAATACATTTTTTGGAACTAAGTATTTCCGATAAGATTAAACATGGCTTCAATTGATATACGCCAAGTGAGACAGTTCATTTTTATTAAGGATACACTATTGTTTACAGCATGTTCCTCTAGTCGATTATGAATGCAATCTTCTTTTTTCATTACTGTTATATATCATACGTTTGTTCTATTTTTAATCAGTTAGAGTCATTTGATTAAGTTCAATTCTGCATTACAATTAAGAATGCATTAACTACATTTTAGAAATCTTCATTGGTTCGCTAATTTTTCTCTTAAATGAAGGTAAATCCATTAATTTTGAAATATGTTTTCTCGAACATACGACGATTTTTATTCTTATAGATTCCTGTACATATAAGTAGTAAAGCCGTTAGATATTTAGTTTTTATGCTTTTATTATCATTGTACTTGGTGAATTATATGAGAAATCATGAATATTCTCTACTTGCATGTATCATCGGTATGGGCATTTCAATTACTACAAACCATTTTGAAACATGTAATAGAAAATTTTAAATTAGATAAATTTAAATTTTTTTGTGATGTTCGTCATTTATGAAGGTTATAATGCAAATTTCAGATTCACAGGGTTCTGAGTTTAACATATAGATATATAAGGTCTTTGTTCTTGTGGTTTGTCATTTAAAATATTAATTTACGATCCAACATTCAATGTGCTTTTATGGCTTGTCATTAGGAGCATATTTTTATTAATAAAATATTTTGTTACGGCGTTTCTTTGATTTTTCAAAATTGTTTCTATTATTGACGACAGTTAATGTGAAAAATAAGAGACTTAATGGAGTTCTGTCCAACACAGTAGCATTCATCCTATATTAAAATTATACAAGTAGAATTAATAGCTAGTTAGTTTTCAAAAAGATCATTTCTCAAACATTATCTGTCAAACTGATTCAAATGAAATAAAAGTGATATAAAAATATTATGGATTTTTCAAAATTAACTGAACTGACGCTATTCATTTTCTCAACCCAGGTACAAGAAAAGGGAATCGTAAACGGTATAGCGGTATTGTGACTGTTGTCTGTTGTATACAGTACGATAAAATACGATCGAAATGTTGCGCCAAACAAACGTCTATTTACAGCTATTTACGATCGCAAACTATTATGAAACAACAGAATACAAAGCATTTTTTGACTGTTTCGGTGACTGTCATGAACATCCTAGGTACTATGGAAAATGATGGCTGTCTGCTAATGAAAAAACGATCCGTAACAGAGGCTGCTTGATTACGGCGAAATATGACGAAGAGTGATGCAATAATACGACATTTAAGATGTTGTTTTCGACTGTCAGAATGATTGCTCTGGGAAATTAATGGTTTAGTTTTATTTGAACAAAATACGGGCAATTTTTTTGTTATTTGTATTGTTTTAACTAAGTATAATTATCTGTTTTCAAGTTTCTAAGCTGTCTTATCTTGTATTTACTGACCTGCGATATATGGTGTTTACTTGTAAAAGCTGTTGATAACATTACTTTTTCAATGGACTAAGATGAACATTAATGTATAGTTCATATTGAACTCGTTAATTAACATAAGATTTATAATTTTGTCTCTCTTTTTTAAACTTTTGTCAAATTTGATGTTATCGTGTTCTATTTTTACTTATGTATTATTCGTCAGTATTTTTGTTTATATATTTAGTATCAATAAATTGATAAATTTATATCGAGTATTTGCAATACGAAGCCAAATAGAATCTTTTAATTGAGATTGCATACACTCTTATCGCTTTATTTCATTATTATATAGTTTGAATTTTTAAAATCAGGATACTAATATTGTTATCGAAAAAAAGTCTCGTATTTATTTATTTACTTTTGTAGTCAGAGTTCAGTGCAACGCGCATGCATGTTTAATAAATTGGTGAGTACGCAAAAAAACTATACCATCATTCCATAGGTTGCTTGTTTTTATTGTAGACATCTAAAATTAAAGCGAGATTTTATAGAAAAACAATTAGAAGAATAAAATTTTAGATCTTTAACATCATATAAAAAAGATTAATTAAAAAGAAGTACGAATTTCGTCGAAGGCTTATGTCATATTATTAGTGTTTCTTGAAAATTGATAATTCTGAAGAGAGCTCATTGATTTCGTCTCTTTCTAGTAAATGTATTTAGTACAGACATTTAAACACTTGCATATCATGGCGAGAATGATATACATCAAATGTTATATGCGCAAATTGTTATCAATAGTTTTCAATAATCATTAAAGCCCTGAAAATGGGACTTAAATTTTATGTACATCAATTATTTTCTGTATTGATACCAACTACAATTCACTAAAAGCTGGGTTTAAAACTTTTAGAATCATCAGGTTCTCCACAGAGCTATCTAAAATAATATCCATTAATATATAAGAGAGCACTAAAACAAAGTTTTAAATAGGGTGAGTGTTTGACTTGGTTCATATTCACTACAGTAGAGAATAAAAGTTATCTTGACAGGTTAATAGAATAAACAAATGTAAGTCTTGACACCAATAAAAAGATATTTTAAATATCTTCTATTATCTGGTTTAGTTTTATGTTACTATTAATGAAACTTAATGACTGTTAAAACAAGAAAAAGCAAATACAACAAACGAACGACGTATATTACAAAAAAGTGCAGATCACTGGAAAATATAAACATGCACTAGCATATCTTCACTTTATGGTGAACTTCTATATTATGTGTCCAGAAAAACATCGAAATTAGACAATAATAACAAACTAAAAGTCTAAAATATAAATTTTGAAAAATATACGTATTATATTGCAACATTCGGTTGTATTGGTGACACAATTGATTGCCATCGATACCGTTTAAGATACTTCTTTTCAAAAGATCAATCATCAAATTTCTTTTGTTGAAAGATGATTAATCATTCGATACATTCTGTATTTCGGATTTTCTTCGGTAGTTTGTTTACGAGAACAATAAATTGTATCTAATATCATGGATTGAAATCTTAAAGATTAACATACATGACGACATTCACCTTAAAATATTTCACACTACCTTCCATATGAAAATTTTATTACTAAATGGCATAGTCCTAAAACATTGAAGAGTTTAATAAACAAAAAAAATTTTTTCTTTTTAATGATTTAACTAGATTTTATTTCCTTACGACTAGCATTAGTTGTTTCTAAAGTAATTGATAATTTTATATCATAAATCACCATGTTTTAGAAGTTCATAGATTGATATATGATCAGAATTTCGGTTTTGTGCAAGATCAGAGGAGATCGTTGGTCCTAAATTAATCATAAATGAACGACAAATAATTCAAAAGAATATTCATACCCTCATAATACTCTGATAAAAATTCAAATGTTTGGCTAATAGGTACTTCAGAAATCAATAAATGAATAGAAACATAACTTTTCAGTAGATCTTTAGTCGAATCTTTCTTTTACTTATTTCCAAAATTGTTCGTATAAAACGACTATTTGATGTTACTAATCGATTCGCCATAGAAATATCTATAAAAAAAACTATAGTAAACACTGTTCATTATTTTAGAAAACTTTATCTAAAATCAGCACAATCTTTCAAAGGATACATAGCGGAATGTCAGACCATCGCTATTAGACTCAGGTATCTGCCTTGTAAAAAAAAACTTAATAAGAATGAACAAAAAGAGTTTTGAAAAATAGATAGTTCTGTTCTAGTCAAAGTAATACTTATTTTACATTAACTTCTATTTAAACGATCTTGAAAATCACAATCGATACTGATTGCTCATTTTCATTTATCAATCATGAACAAAATTCAAATATACTGAATAAAAACCCGTTGAATAAGAAATAAAACATGACTATGAAGTAATAATTTATCCATTTCACTAACACTTTCCACTTTTTCGATAGCGGCTATCTCTATGAAATGTCACCATTCGACTAACATCATATTGCAATAAAGGAAATACAAAAAAAAATAAATAAATATTTTCAATCACTTTCTATGATTTATATAATTACTCATGTCGCACGTTTGTTCACACTACTATCGGTATATTCCAGTTAGAGCCCGTCGAGTTAGTCCTGGACTCGATGAGTACTAACTGTGATATCAATAGAGGGCGTGGATACGATGTCTCATTTCAGCCGGACATATCCATACTCACACCTATAAGTGCCGAGAGAGATAATATAAAAGAAAACGAAAAGGAAATCAAGTAGTCAAAGTATTAGAAAGCAAGAAATCGATTTTCTTTTTAAATTTTCCATAGAATTGGATTACGATAGAAAGATAGATAGATAACAGTCTATTTTTTGAACTATGTCAAATACTGTTGGGAAAAGATTAGATATGTGAATTTTAAATGAAAATTCCAAATTTGATTACTTTCAATTCATATATTCGAGTAGAATTATGTTCTTTTCATTCAAGAAAAATTGATTTTATTTACTAACAAATTTTGTATCAAATGTTTCGTCATCAAGAACCAAATTAGACAATAAATACGTGTTTTGCCGCAGCTATTATTTTTCTTCTTTTCGTTACTTTTTTTCTTGTATCCAACTACTTAAACAAAACATTTTTTATTTTTGTCATTAACACATTGTAGTATATTCTTTTTTTTCTACATAATAAATCTTCCATTATATTTCGTTCTAATACATTTTTATATGACTTTTCATAGGTAAATTTGTCCGAATATGAATAAATTTTCAAATATCAGAAATGAAAACAAAAGAGAAAAAAAACCGAATTTTATACGAAATATAATCTTCGAATAGGTCTATAAAGAAAAGTCCGACTGACAAATGCAAAGCATTTATCAGTGACTATTTATTTAATAAAAAGACAATTATCTGATATGATATTATATTTTGTCTTTAGTAACATTTAATATACAACATAGAAGTGGTAATTTTCCATTAAAGAGAACAAAAAAAAAAGAAAAGAAGAAGACAGAAAGATTTAAGGTGCCGAAATTTCATATATCGAACCAAGAAAAGCATCAGCTATACGTCGCGCTTCACGTAAGCCACTTAATAAAGAACCATGAACTGTTGCTGGATAATTTCGATTTGTATGTTCACCAGCAAAGTATACACGTGAAATTTTATCACCAGGACATTCAATTGGACGAGCTAATGTATCATAATCATCACCTTCAAAAAATAAATAAAATGAAATTCTATTTAGTATTATTTTTTTTTTGTTTTTATTAGAAGAAATAAAATAACCTGTAGCGCCAACAGCAACATATGAATAAGAACCACGTGCAAATGGATCTGATTTCCATCGAGTGACTAAAGATTCTTTTGGCTAGAATGAATAAGAAAATAATGTTTAAATTTTTTTTTTCTGTAATACATGAATCAATGATTTAACAAAATTAAAATATCTGTATCACGATATATTTGAAAAAAGTAAGTGCTAGAGATCTTTGTTCAGAGGAGTTATCAATTAAAAACTAACATGAAAGACGACATCGACTTTCGTTTCATGCATTTTAGTTTAAAAAAGTACACTGAACTGAGACAGTATGTTTCAAAACTAAATAGTACATTTTGTAGGCAACTCTTGAGGCTATAAAATCTCTATCCATCGGTTTTTCTGGGCATGTCTAGATTTTTCAAACTTTTCGTTAGTGATTTAACAGAGCACGTAAAGATGTTCTTTTAGGCTGAATAAGAAATAAGTTTTTTGAAATCTGATCTTGCTGAAAATTTTATCATAGATGCGGTTTGTATTGTAGAGTCTCTTCTGAAATTTTCGGATTTTTTTCTTTTCGTATAGATATTTGTTAAATTATGTTTTAATTAATACTTAACATTTTGATAAATGTCTATGTTAAAAGAACTTAATCAGAAAAGTAACTTTTGTAAAGAATCAAAATCAAATAGAAGTTGAATATGTTTTCGTTTTAGTTGAGATGACTTCTATGATTTATCGAAATTCTTAATCAATATATCTTACTGAAGGAACAGTAACTGAACCAAAAATATTTCTTAAAACAACAAGTGTACGACCAATAATAACATCATCAGTTGCACATTCAACAACATTAGCAGCATCACCAGCAACTAAAGCAATGAGTACAGGTGGTTTGGTAAAACACCAAAAAAGAAATAATTCTCCACGTGATGATGTTGAAGCATTAACATGAGCAAATAATGTATGATTTGCATCCCAAAATATTTTATCAAAACATAATACAACCTAAATTAATTTTGTTCATAATATAAAAATATAAATAACAGAAAGAAAGAAATATTTTCTTTTTACTTTATTCAAATTTCCAAAACCAACTCGATCAATTGCTGATTGTTTATCTTCAGGTAATGGTGGATCAAATATAATAACATTTTCTTTTAATACACCTAATGGTACAGTAATAAGTACTGCTTCAGCTCGATATGTTTCAATCATTTCATTTTTTGCATCTTCACCATTTTCAACACTAACTTCAATACCTATAGAGAAAAAACAAACAAACAAACAATCATAACAATGAAATCTATATTGATAGAACTTATTATATCCTGAAAATCTCAGCTTAAACGGATAAGTTTTACTTAATTTTTTATCTCTGACAAGATATATTTGTGAAACAATTGAACTACAAAATTTCAATCTAAAATCTTGCCCTCTACTTGTAGATAAAATATCAGTTCGATTGACCTATTACATTTGAAGACTTTCTCTCATAAGAGAACGAACTATTTTTTTCATGTTCATTAGACATAACATACCTGTTTTATTATAGGAAATTTTTTTAACTATTCGTTTAAGTCGTATATTTTGATTTTCACAAAGAGCCAAAGGTAGAATAGAGTAACCATTACGTACTATATATATATATATATATAGAAAAATAAAATAATCATTTTTTGATATTATATTAATTCATTTACCAGTTAGATGACAACCAGTAAATTCATATTCATCATCTAAAGAAAAAAAAATAAATAGTCTTTACTATTAAACTATAGATAAATTTTTTTTTACCTTGATCCCAATATTTCAATGATAAACAATTTAATGGTGCTGCATTAGCAAATTCTAAATTAGCCATATGCCAATCAAGAATACGACGATCAGCAACACTTAGATAGAGACGACTAAATACAAATTAAGGGATAATATTCAAAAAAAAAGAACAAAATATATTTATTTTATTTGAAAACATACGGTGGTGGATTATCTTCAGCTAGACGAATTTGTTCTTTTAATTGTCCAGCTTGTGCTTCAAAACGAGCATATTCCTAGAGTATTAAAAAAAATTTAATTCTACAATTTCAATTTTTTGTATTATCGAAAGTTGTTTTTTTTTTCGCGATTAGCTTTGATTGAATACTTCCTTATCATATGAGACAACTACGCGAAATGATTCACTACTTTTGAGTTAAGATTATGGAGATATAGAGAGAAGTTCTACACTTGAATAAACCGAAACGAATTCGGATTTATTAAAGGTTTTCTCTAAAGAGTTATGACAGTTTTATTGGATTTTTATCATAAAGAATATTTAAAAAGCTACTGACTTTTTAACTGAAACTTATATGATATTCTCAAGATCACAAGATCTACTTATGCATCCAAATTACAATTCAAAAATTCTTGGTTCGATTTTCCTACCAATATCAAGTAGTATAATAGAAATTCGGCATAGCTGTTATCACTCTCTAGAGAAGGCCGATCAGTCTAAATCAAATTAAAAAAAAAATGATGCGTATTAATAGTGAATATATAAGTATGAATATCCTGCAGAAGAGCTGATTTGATCTTCGGAGGAGCGATGCTTTCTCAGTCCTAACACTCAATAAAATATTGAACCAAGGTCTCCTCACTCATCGAACCAACAACAGCTATACTCTGCCATGAATGTTTCCATCTTGATTATGGCACCAGAATATGTAGCTACGAATTAGACAAGTACTCGGAAGCCCGAAGATTTATGAAAATTCGTTTCTTTTTGTCTTAAATGTTATGTAATTATCAAACAAATGAAATACTTCATTTTACTGTCGGTACTAAATTCTATTGAATACTATTGATTTATAAAATAATTTTGACAGAATCACAAATTTTCTTGTTTTCACTTCAATAAAATGTCAACCTTTTGTTATATGATCTTAAAATTCTCTGTGCAAAGATGGAATCAGTACCGGTTACTTGTCTAGTCGATCTTATTAACTTTCTTGTTTATCATATCAATTTATTTAAAACTTCTATTATTAAAAAAAATCTCAAGAATAAATATTTCTTGTTAATAGATACATAAAAATTCTCTAATAAATTAATCACAACCTATAATCAAGATCATTTTTCATAGAGCATTCATTCTCAAATAATTATTCTCATTGCGTATAATCTAATCCATATTGGACGTTTGCTCGCACTACCACCGAAAGAGCCAGTTAGGATGAATCTCGAACCTCGCCGGACTTGGGTCCCAAAATGTTGAACCCGACGAACTCTAACCACTCATGTGAATCACATGAGAAGCTAATAAAAAAAAAACACACCATATCTCAATCAATAGTAGAGCCTGTCGAGTCCAACATTTCCAGATTCGGTCGAACTGTACTTTGATACTCTTCATGAAAATTTCTAATCGGAATCGAATAGTCGTTCCGAAGATACGAGATACTTTTTTTTCCGATTCTTTGTATTCGGTGACTGATGCATCGTACTTATTTCTTAGACGACTCAAGTTCGGGACCAACCCGATGAGCTCTAATCAATAGATAATATTATTATAATCTATACTTCAATCACAATGATTATATAAATAAAAGATACCTCGGTAGCTACAACTAAATTTTTAGCCACATCACGTATAATAAATTCTTCAAGTACATTTCCATTATCGGGTACTTGTAAAACATCTGAATATTCTTTATGTAAATTAACACATTTTGTTCGAACATCACACATCTAAAAATAAATTAATTGTATATTATTATTATTATTAGAGAAAAATTAATAAAAATTTTTACTTTTGTTAAAATTGTTCGTAGTGATTCTTTCATTTTAGATATTTCACGTAAATGTTGAAGATATTTTTCTCGTACAGCTTTTTCTTGTGCACGAATTAATTGTTCAAGAACATCACCTAATGAATATGGTTGTTTTTTTTCATCAACATCTTCATCAAGTGTTTGAGCTACATAAGAACATGCTTCAAGTAAACGATTAAATTCTCGTTCAACAACTTCATCTTTTGCTTTTGGTACCTAACAAAAAAAAAGAAAAATAAACAAATAACTATAAACATATTTATGATTTGTTTTTTTTTTTTTTTATTCTCTCAACAAAAAGGCAAAATAGCTCGTAATAAAGATTTAATTAACCCGAAGATATCGACGTCGATAATTAATTAATTCAAATGGTTTTAAAAATGAATTTGCTAACTGAAATAAGAATTATACTTTTCTATCAAATACAAATTACAACGAAAAGAAAATAAAAAAAAAAAAACAAAAAATAAAAGACTTATTTCATACCACATTCTGTGAACATTCATACATTGGACATTTATGTTTAACTGGTACAAGATCTAAATTTGTTTGTGCTTGTAATACAGATACTGGATTACCACCTAGAAAATTATTTTATATAATCGAAAGTATAAAAAAAGAAAAAAACCATAAAGTATACCTAATCCGGTGACTACCATAGCACCAAGATCAGCTATAAAACCATTTTTACGAAATGTTGCTATTCGACCACCGACTCGACTCTATAAACAAAGAAGTTATTCTTTTTTTATTATTCGAAAAACAAAACTCATACGCGTCCTTCAAGAATAATTGTTTCAAATCCGAAATATTGTAATTGTCGTGCAGCAATTATTCCAGCAATACCAGCACCAATTACAATAATTCGTGGTTTATCTTTTTTACCTAAAAATAAAAATACAAAAAAAAAAATTAAATTTCTTTAATATTATTTTTATAAAAATATTTACTTCCAAGTGGTGTTGTTAATCGTTTAAATACTCCAAAATTAATATAACCATAACGTTCAAGATAGAGAAAAATTTTTCCAGCAAGTATTCGTTCATCTAAAAAAAAAACAAAAATATATAAAAATAAATAAAAATTTTTTGTTTTTATTACCTGTAGCATATTGTGGTTCAACTTGATTCAATTTTTCCATGATTTTTTCCAATGTCAGTTGAATACGAGGTTCATCAAACCACATTCGAAGCTAGAATAAAATATAAATTGATTTAAAAAAACTTCAACAAAAAATACTATAGGATGTTTTCTTAAATTTAAAATGGTATTTATAAAATTTTTTTGAATAAGATTAGTCAAATAATTATTTCTACAAAAAAAAAAGTATTGAACATAAACTGTCTCTTGAATAATTTGAAAGCAAAAGTAAAATTATCATTGATGAGAAAAGATTTTTGTTGATATACCAATCGTCTTAGAACATTTTTAGTTTCTATGATAAATAATTCAATAGTACAGAGATTGTTTTGATTAAATAACAAATTCTATTGAAAGTATGATTCCTTGTATTATATAAGTTAGTCGTCATGACTTGAGCAGTTACATTATTTCCCCACGTATCCACAAGATACTGTGAGAAAACTTCATGTGTCACTAGCCATGAAATAACCCTGGACAAGGTACTAATGGCTATTTGTCTCGAATCATCTGTCCGAGAGCATGTTGACTACGTTGAACATATAACTGCTCTTGTATTTAGTTAATGTTTACAAGGAGTTCAAGCGATTCAATGCATTCTACCCAAAGCTACAGGTAGTCATAGCTTTAGTGAAGATGTTAGACTATTGAATCTGCTGCTAGGCAACACTTCATACTGCAAGATAGCGAAAGGACGAGGATGTTCTTCCTTCTTTTCGTCATTTAACTTGAAGTTCTTTTATGTAGAATTCAAGGAATTATCTTCTCATATCTCAATATTTAGTAAACAAAAACATGTAGGTGTTCAATCAAATTATATAGATTTCTGTTAATTTTTAGCAAATATCCTGACTTTTTTTATCAAAATTTTCATTAAACGAAACACCGGTTTTTCAATTGTTTGCAAACATGATGAGTTAGGTCTCTAACTGTTTCCATTGTCCAATTATTGAGATTATAACTATCTCTCTTTAATTATTGGACTATGGCCGAAACCAGAATAAAAAAAACTTGACCTCGAACATCTCTAGTTATGAGTTAAACAATTTTCACTAGCCGAAAGATGTTGAAATAATAAATCAATATTGAAGGTAATACGAAGAACATTATGATATTTTTCTTACAAGAAATTCATCAAAATAGTCATAACTCAAGAAGACAGACCCATGAGTAAGAATTCTTTTAGAGTTTTAACACGGTGAGTATCATCTCAAAAGCCATATTCAACTTAACAACATGCTCTCATAATTCATACGAATATTCAAGGAAGAAGAAGTTGAAATTTTAATATGTGATATTTATCAACATTTTTCGAATTAAATGTAATAGAGATAATAACAGACTCTATCCAATGCTAAAACGAATGAATAAACATTCATTTATCATTATTATATAGTATTGAATAATAAAAAAATTTGATTTTTACTTATAGAATTTATTCTAGAATTATTTGTAAAATAATGAATTATATATAAATTAAATATTTATATTTATAAATAAAATTTTCTTACAATATTATTACGAATAATTAAGAATGCTTTGTGTCGTTTAATATCACCTTTACAAATTTCTGGAAATAAACGAGATTCTTCTGCTGACATTCGATCATGTGTAAGACGACTTTGTGCAGCAGCATCTTCCAGACCTTATATAAAATGTTTATTAAGATAAAAACTAAATAAAAACTAAATAAAATTTTATATATTTACCATCAGGACTTGTACCATCAACACGTCGTGCTCGAAATTCTTGAAATTGTCTTCCATCATCACCCATTTTGAATATTAGTTTTCCGTCTAATTGATTTTAACTTATTTTACTTTACCCGTTCCATATTGGTCATTTGCAAACTATGGACTATGAAAAAAAAAAAGTGTCGACATCTATTGTCAATAGGCTTTTTTTTAAATTTAGATCTTTCAAGGTTTGTTTATTAATTTTAATTTATATAAATAAAAAAAAAATTATATTTTAAATATTTAGATCAGAAAAATTGTTCTATTAATCAATGATAAAGATTATAAGCCAATCCCTGAGAAAAACACGTTTAACAGTAATTGTACCCAGGGACGTATTATCATTTATCGATTCTTATAGACAATCATGAATTTTGCTACACCCAAAAAACGTCAAGAATGGTTGGTTCATGCAGAAGATTATACTGATATTGTAATAAGTTTTTTGTTAAAAAAAAAAACGAAATATCTTTCATATTTTTTAACTTATTCTTTTTCATTCTAGTTTCTTCAACGAACGAAATATATTTTACCGCATTTAGCTCGATTATGTTTAATATCAACATTTATTGAAGATGGTATTCGTATGTTCATGCAATGGGGTCAACAAAGAGATTATATTATGCGTTCTTGGGATATTGGATGGTTTTTGGGTACACTTTTTGTTATTATAAATCTACTTGGTCAATTAGTACCATGTGGAATGATTTTAGTTAGAAAAAAAACTGATATTGCATGTGGAATACTTTTTTTTATACTTGCATTTCAAGTAAGTTTACTTTCTTGTTGATTTCACGAAAAAAAAACCAATACTATAGAAAGAAATTACGAATGAAAATGTTTTTATGAAATTTAAAAAAACAAAAAAAACTCTTTATTTATTGTTTCTTTTTTTTTTCTGTAGGCTATTGCATATCGAATCATACTGGAACCACGTTTCATGCTTAGGTAATATAATTATATAAGTAGGTTATTTTCTTTTTCTTACTCTTTCCAAGGGATTGGTTGATAAAGTTTATAGAATACACGTTAAAATTAACATGAGGAAAAAAAAAAAACGAAAGCTCGATAATTGTCTATTTAAATCTTTTTCTTATTTAAGGACATTATCCCTTATCGGTGGTATAATGTTATTAATGGTTGAAAATCGTAAAGAAGCTCGTAGTTTATTTGCTGGTGTACCAACAATGCATAATAATGCACCAAAAAATTATATGCAATTAGCTGGTCGTCTATTACTTGTTATTATGTTTTTAACAATTGTTCGTTTTGAATTTACATTTTTTTCAACAATACAAAATATTATTGGTGGTATTTGTATATTATGTGTTGCAATTGGTTTTAAAACAAAATTAGCAGCTTTATTTCTTGTTATATTTTTATCAATTGCTAATGTATATTCAAATAATTTTTGGTATACACATGCTATACATGGAATACAAGATTATTTAAAATATGATTTTTTTCAAACATTATCAGTTATTGGTGGTCTATTATATGTTGTTGCACTTGGTCCTGGTGGAGTATCAGTTGATGCAAGAAAAAAAGAATGGTAAACAAAATATGAAAAACAGTATCGAAAAGAAAAATATTTTTCTGATTATTTATAAAGTTGATAGAATCATTCGTATTGTTCTTTTTTTTGTTTGTTTGTTTGTTTTGCATGAACATCGACATCTTGTTTTTTCTTTTGAGTTTGTTTAGTTGTTATTTTTTAAAAAACATTAATAAGAACATTTTATAACTTGGATTATGTTGTTTTCTAATAGGAAAATACATATTCAAGGTAACATAATCTATGAAATACTAACAAAGAATTATTTTTTTTTTTCTTCATAAATTAGCAATAGATTTTTACATGAAAAATATCAACAGCTGGTGATGTTCTCATATTAGTTTTAATATATATTTTGAAATAATCTAAAAATTTGTGATCTTGATACAAAGGTTTTTTCGAGATATTTATTCATATATTTCTTATCTATTCAAAAAAAAAAAAAAAAATTCTAAGTTAATCTTTTCTTAATGATCGATAAACATATTTACTTGCAAAAAAAAAGATAGTCGGTACAATAATAATCATACTCTTTATTACAATGAGAAAAACAATTATTTCCAGTGGTTTGTATGAATCAAAAAAACTTTTATATTAAATTTTAATGAAAATAATTTCTTAATTCATATATGAGTTTAACCCTTTGAGTCCTGGTAGTATACATATGTACCAACTTGAAAATTTTCTAATCCTCGAGTTTTTGAGAATCTTGGAGAAATATTTTCAATAAATATTAGAAGCTGGTAGAGACCTGTACAAGCTTGCACGAATGATAGGGTGTATGAATGAGACTAAAAAGTGTACCGTGTCAAATTTCTTTAGTCCGAAAATAGTTTTAACCCATAACCTGATCTTTTAAAATTTTTCGTTGATTTTCCTTCTCTTCAAAGTCTATATTCATGAGATATATCTCAAGTACTATGATAGATAGTTCAGTAAGTTGCAAAAGATTAAATTCATTTGTTTTATTTCCATCAATTTTGAACAAAAGAATTATCTTCTGTACATACAAAATGCAATGTCTATGTGTGTGTCCGAATATCGAGTCAGCATTGGTTATTCATATGGAGGCCACCGATTTGACCAATTTGGTACTCAAGGATATTTAGGATATGTGTCGTCTATAAGTACTACATTCGTAGGTAATTATTGAAGTAGAAAAAGAGTAGGAAGATCTTGAGCAATAAATAATTAGAAGAAGAAACGCATTGAAATGAGAATAAGTAACACAGGAAGTTCGAAAGAACTACAACTTTTGACTCATATACCAAAAGTTATTTTCAGCTTATCGTCAGTGCGCTTATTGTAGCACAAAAGAAATAGAGAAGAGAACGAACATAATTTATAACTTTTATTGCATCGATCTTTGCGTAAAAAATTGTTTTTTGTTGTATGATCAAAACTACGTGTATTAGTAATGAAATAAATAAATGTTTCAGTAATTATAATAACAATTCTTTTTTACTAAAACGTAACAATAACAAAAATATTTTAATTTTCATGTGATCACGTGCTTTTTTAATTGTAATTTAACCACATGCTTCCTAATATCATCTAGTTAGTTTATACCAAGTTTCATCAAATTTTAGCTCAGTAAAAAAATTCAGGACTCAAAGGGTTAAACAAATATTCGAAATTGAAGGAAACGCTTGAGAATAAAAGATTAGAAAAGTTTGTTATTCGACTCAAAGACAATTGTTTTTTTTTGATGTTTTAGAAAAAGTCTTTGAATTTTATGTTATATTAAAATATCGGATCGCATAATTTCTTCTAATTAATTTTGTTTTTTCATACAGATTAGATATAACTTATCAGTCTTTTATAGAATAACATGTCTCTTTATCTGAACATATGATTATCAAACGGAAGTATTCATTCGCAAAATGTTTTTGTTGTTTCTTTGATTTGCACATGGGTAATGAAAGATAAAGCATATCACCTCGAGTATTTTCTATATGTCCATCATATCTATTAAATTCCGCAGGACAATATTCATTTAACTTTCTTACATCCGCATGCATTAAATCTCATTCTATAGAGTTCAAAAAATTAAAAGTACGAAAGAAGTTGTTGCAATTTATAGAAGTCAAAATGTAAAGTGATGAATATCCATCAGTGATAAGAGAAAAAAAAAGACAAGTATCAATGTACTCTAAAATCTTTATACCACAGCACAATTTTTTTTTTTAAAGAACAAAGCCTATCATTAGTAATATTTAACTTTCTATATAGTTAAAAGAGAGAAAATAATTTTTTTTTCCTTGTTAAATTTATTTAAGTCAATTGCTTATGTTGAGATTTGACTCGTATGAACAGAATTCATTCACAATGAAATGCACCACTAGCATAGTTATTAATCTTTAGCTAACTTGAATGAATGCAGTTGTCTATGAAGAAAGTTAAATATGCATATTAAAGGATTCTTGGATTCATAGAACATACCTGAGTGTATGTGCCCCAAAATATATTTTCCTCAATTATGAATGAGCCGTGTTGTTGATAAAAATATGGGTCAATGTCTAGAAGAAAGTGCGCAAGTGCAAAAGTCTGTTCATTATCACACAATAGAATTTTATTGAATATATTCTTATTTAAGAAAGGCCTTTACCAATGTGATCCGTGTCAATGCGCACTGAATTAATGAGGTCTGTAGGCCATGAGAATGAAGTTTTTCTTTTGTTATAGAAAATAAAAAGAATTTCTCCAAAGAGTGACTACATGACATGTTTTTGATTAAAGAAAAACGGAGTTTTCAATAAACTGTTTTTTTTTCTATTAGCTATTTATCATGGTTTTTCTAACTCGAAACGGGCACATCGCTAGAACGACGGAAGCAAAATATTGTCCGTAGGGAATTTCGGTATTAATTTAGACATAAATGTTTAAAAGAATCAATAAGCTGCAGAAGTTATTTGAAAAAAAAACAAACGATTTTCAGAAGAGGTCTTTCTAACTTTCTTTTTCCGAAAGGATCTTCAATTATGGTCAAGAAGAATAGCTTCTAATGTTTTTAGGGCTTTAATTTTTTTCTATTGAAAGACGACTTTCATTTTTTTGACCTATCATTTGGCACCTGTAAGCGATTTCCGGGATAACTTTTACTAGAAAAAAAAATCAATTTCATCAACAAATGTTAACAGAGGGTTCAAAGTTCGACCAACATAGGAACACTTTTAGAATGTCTGAAAGAATACTCAATAACAATAAAGTCTCTCTCAGCGATGAATGTAGTATATAGGTTGATGTAGATTTTCATGCTCTGTTGTATAATGACATCAATAAAGAAATGAAGAACATGATCACATTGTGACAAGATCAGAATGCAAATAGTCTGGAAATTCTCTCGAGTACTTAAAGACTAATTCATAACAATTAATTTTTACTGTAAAATACATATAATACTTAGAATCATCATCTAATAATATCGATCCTATTGAAAAATATTTCCTTCAGAATATTCTCAAATATTATTAATTATTGATCATAATATGCAAAAACCAGCACTATTGTTAACTTTCTTGATCTAATACAAATATTCCCCACTAATTGATCACGTTTTATCCAGATTTTCTCTTTCGAAACGGTGACTTCAAGAGAGTGAACGCTCAATTTTTCGGAGCACAGACACATTGTAACGCAGTACCATAACCACAAAATTCCGGAAGGCTTAAACCGATATTCGAAGAGGCATCGCTTCCTCGGTCACAACACACTGGATGAAAAATTCCATCGATCTCTATATTTCACTTATTGATTATAAAAGTTCTACCATTTTATAAAATTAAGTCATAATGTTCTAAAAATTTCATTTTAGCAAGATTTGATCGTAAGCTCAATTCAAAAACTAGTGTTCAAATGTTTTTTTTTTATATGGTTTTAATTCAGGTAAATCATTTTGACTATGATCAAATGTAATTCAGAGTTTCTCGTAGCATTTTTTTTTTTCGGTGGCTAATGATAGTAATTATAGATTAATTTTGCTTTTTCTTCAATGAAGATTTTATGTTTTTATTTGTGCTTGGACTAGAAAATGAATATTAATTTTGAATAAGATTATCGAAAATCAAAATTTTATTTAATTAATTTTTTTATACAATAAATTACAAGATTTATATATATGCAAACGTTTAATATAGAAATTTTTTTAATTTGGAAAAAGTAAAAATGGTAAATGAAAATGTTGATTTGTAAGAAGTATTTGTGTTATGAATTGAATTTGTTCAGAGAAATATAATAATCGATTAAAACGATCAGGTTGTTCAGATAAAAATGTATTCATTTCATATGTATATAAAATTTTATAAATATTTTCAAATAAATTAAAATTTATTTTATTTGTTTGATCTAAATAAAAAACATATAAAAATAAAAACTTTTTTTTTTTTTGTTTTATATTTACTTGAACAAAGAATAAGTAAAATACTTAATAAAATAAATTCTGTATTTGTTATATTTATATTAAAAAATGTTGATAAAAAATAAAAAAATTGATTAAATATTCGATATGATAATGATGATAAAAATTTATTTTCTGTATAATTAAATAAACGTTGAAGACATTTTGTATATGAAATCAAATTTATATGATTATAATTTATTTTTAAAAAATAAAAAATAAGTAAAATTATATAATTGAACCATTGATCATTAAATATAAATTGTTTTAAATCAATATTTATTATTGAATAAATTGGTAATGTATAATACCAATTAATAAATGTATCAATTAATAAATAACAAATATTTTTTATTGATTCATGTGTTAATAATATTTCATGATTTATTAATGGACGTAAATGATTAAATAATATATCTAATATTAATAATTGATCAAAACAATAAAATAAATTTAAATCAAATAATTCATTAAATTTATCATTTGATATTTTATTCATTTGTTGATTTTTTTCATTTTTATACTATAAACAAAATTTTTCTTTAAAATTATATCAATCATTCTTTTTCATATTTGAAAAAAAAAAATAAAAAAATTTTTTTGTGCTACATTTTTTTTTTCTTGCAATAAAACTCAATAGAATTTCAATCGAATTAATATGTGAACATGACGAATATGTTTTGATTACAAAGAAGAAGATCTTAATTAATATCAGTCATTAATTGCAATTAAAATTTTTGTTTAACTATTATATTACATTTTTTTTGTTGTCAATGTTTGATTTTAAAATGTAATCATTTAATAAAAAAAAAAAAAAAAAACTTACTTTATATAGTTGCATGACATTAGCTGGTGTTCGACCACCAGGTGTTCGATCATATCGAACAGCTCCAATAACCATACCTTTAATAAGACATTTTCGAAAACGACAATATTGACAACGATTACGGTGAGATTTATCAATAATACATGAACCATTTTTATTACAACGATATTTTCGTTTATTTTGTACTGTTCGTTTAAAAAAACCTTTTTTTTTTGAAAAGAAAATTTTTTTTCTTCTTCTAAAGTTCAAATATATAAAAATTTCTTGAATACCTTTACAACCTTCACATGTTGCAAGACCATAATGCATACCTGTTGCTTTATCATTACAAACATCGCATAGATTAAATAATTTTCTATGATTATTAATAAATGAAATATTCTTATTATCATTTATCTATTAAAAACAAAAGATATATAATTATAAGATACAAAAGAATTTTTTTTTTATTATGATGATTTACTTTTGGTGATTGAATATATTGAAGAAGAGCATTTTCTTGTCGTTGAAGTTCATCTATATCTGGTGTTAATAATTCTGTATGATCAATATCAATTTTTGATAATTGTTCTTCATTAAAATTCACTAGATTATTTTGAACATCAACTTCATATGTACGATGTATTGTACGATAATGTTTAAGTTTAATTTTTTTAAATAAATCATCTTCATACGATAATGTTGATGAAGTTTGTAATAAAGACATATTTGCGATTTACAAATTAAAATTGAAGTAAACTAAATTTTTGTCTTTTCTGTCTATTAAAATAATGAGACTATAAGTCGCTACTACAACATGCTCATCCTACATTTATCCGGAGGCGGAATACGAATGCGATGTTGGTTTATAATAACCTTTATGTAAGAACATGTCAAGAAAGAAGAGCAAAAAAAAACAACAACGCATGTAAAAGGATGTTCACATTGAAATCATATATTCTATAATATGGCGATTAACGTATAGAATTTAGTTGACAGACTTTACTAATGGAAATATCAAATATATACAACTATAGGATAGTTTGTTTTTTTTTTAAATTATGAATAATCCGTAAATATATGTAATGATATTATTGCGTAGTATATCATAATTATTTTCTAATAAAAACGAGTCAAATATTTTAAATAGAATATGTGAAAATAAGGTTAGAGTACTCCGAAGATAATTTAATAGATCTCGTCACTATATGTGTTCTTTTCTTTCTTATCTTATAATATAAGACACTTCCTTTGATTAATAGGAAAAGGAAAAAAATATATATATATGTTTTTGATGAAAAATTAAATTTAAATTCTATTAATAAATATTTGATGATTGATTAAATATTTTGTATTAGTTTATTTTATATAATTAAAATGAAAAAAAGAAAAGAAAAGAACAAATGAAATTTTTTATTTTATAATTTGTTTGAAATAGGTTGAAGTAAGTTAAACTCTATAAGAACATGAATTCATTTCAACTTATATATGAAACTAATCTAAAGATTTGATGATGTCTTTTTTTCTCTTTTACTTGTTATTCATCAAACATGATTAATGAGTTTCTTTTTTGTGTTATTAAATTTTTAATCTGAGCTTATTTAAATAATCTGTTGTTGAAAATATTTGATGTTTATAAAGTTATTCTCTCGGATAAAAACAACAAAATCTCATAAACATTATTTTATGAATATTAAACTTGTTTTGAAATAAATATGTATTTGAATTTTGTTTTTTTTTTTTTTTTAATTTTATTATTGTCAAACAAATTTTAATCGATGGATATAATAATAATAGATAACATAGAATTTTTTTTCTATTTTGAACGTGACTTTTATGTGTTACATAAAAGAAAAAACTTGAAATGTCTATGTAAATACTCATCTTGAATAATTAAATATTCATCATTTTTCTTTCTATCTGTATATAAAATATCAAAACTTTTATATTCATTGCTTGAAAATTTTAATATAGTACTTTTTTTTTGTGTTGAAATGAATAAACAAATGATATATTGAAATTATAAGATTCAAAATATTAAAATGAATTTTTGTTTTCTATTAAAGTATTACGCATAGGATTATTATACTTAGGTTTGACTAAAAGTTTTGATGCTCCGGTATTTAAAATTTTATAAAATAGCTAATATCGAAAAAGTTTTATTGCTTGTGAATACTTCGTCTATAATAATGTATATAATAAGTCTATCTTGGATTTAATTCTAAATATTCTTTTAGATAAAGTCTAAAATATAAAACAAAAGAGATATTTTTAATTGTATTTTATTAAATGTATAAAGTTTTTTTAAACTACTTTTTTTCTGGAATATTCTTCACTATTTTAAAAACTTCCTGAACTAGCGATTTTTCGTTTGTTTCATCAATCAAATTGTTCTTGATATAACCATTTAGCCAAAAATCACATGGTATAAGATCTGATGAATATGACATTGTTTCAATACCTTTTTCTATTACTTATGTATATTATTATAGATGAAGTATTCACAAGCAATAAAACATTCGATATTAACTATTTTATAAAATTTAAAAATATCAGACATCAGAACTTTTAATCAATTCTAAATATAACTTTGTTGAACATCAAAATTTATTTTATTTTATTTTTTCTGTGATATAAAAAAAATTAAAATTAAAATGAATATTTCAAAACAAAAAAAAAATAATAATTAAATGTAAAATGTTATTTTTTTTCTATTTTTAATGAATTTTATCTTGATGATGTATTAAACTGCATAAAATAAGCAGCTGTTGGTTGATTTGTATAAATAACACGATCAAGATATGCTTTGAGATTACGTTGTTCATTTGCTAAACGTTGATTATCATTATAAAGATCATGTTCAAATGTACGTCGTTCACGTTCAAGATTTTTTTCAACAATCATTCCAACTTTAGCTTCAGCAATACGTCGTCGATTCAACTCATCTTCATGTTGTTGTTCTTCTTCATTACGACGCTTAACAAAACAAAACAAGATTAAATCTTTATTTAAGAAAAATAAAACATCAAAATTTTACTTTTTTTTCTTCAATTTGATGTTGTTGTTCTTCACGTATACGACGTATTTGATCTTCATTCATACCTTTCCATCGATCTGGTACAATACGATGAGGTCCAAATTGACTTATAGCTTGATCAGGATTTTCTGTTAATAAATCACTTGTTATCATATTTGCCATTTCAGAAAAATTATCATATTCTTCTTGACGTTTTTTTAATGCACGACGTTCTTGAGTTTCTCGATACTAGACAATTAAATATTAATATGATATAAATCTTTGTTTTAATCGTGCGTGAATTACGCTAACAGATTTCTTTTTATATCGAAAAATATTAATTGTAATCAAATTTGATAATTTTAGTACCTCCTATATATTTTAATTCCTCATATCACACTGGTGATTATTATCCACACCCTATTATTGTCAAATTGTCAGTCTTTAGAAGTGCAGGGTTGGAAATAATATTTTGCTAGGGTGGTACCGCTATGATTTCAAATAGAAGACATAATGAATTTTATATCAAATGAAAGCTCATCAAAAATGGGGTTTATTGATACTAAATAGTAAGGATTATGAACACTTTTTAATATCGAACTTAAGTAACTTTCAGAAATTTTATACTTTCTTTGCGGTGGAAAAGTAAAGTGTCAGTAATTGAAAAATGGATTAAAATGTTTTTTTTTGGATATTTTTACATGGTTTGATAGAGCTCATCGTGCTCTACAAAACTGTATGTACCAAAAATATTTTCAAACAGAGTTGTTGGGTTAAAATTCACTGAAAACTGTCTAAAGAATGTACCGAAAAATCTTCATTTTTTACACTAAATTCAGCTGTTTTCCATTAGTATCCTTATGTAAAATGTTTGAAAATATACTCATTCGATGCATCGTGAAATACTGCATCGAATGAATATATTTCGAAACATCTGAGGAAATAAAAATAATCAGAAAAAAGGAAATTTTATTGAAAATTCGAGCGTTTTTCTTCCATATCAAAAATATGACTTTTTCAAGATTTTCCAAATAGTTTTTTTAATTTTTATTACAAAAAAAAAAGACTCAAAAAAATTCTAATATATACAGTTTTGTAGAGCTCGACGAGCTCTATCAAACCATGTAAAAATATCCAAGAAAAACATTTTAATCCATTTTTCAATTACTGACATTTTACTTTTCCACCGCAAAAAAAGTATAAAATTTCTGAAAGTTACTTAAGTTCGATATTAAAAAGTGTTCATAATCCTTACTATTTAGTATCAATAAACCCCATTTTTAACGAGTTTCTATTCGAAATTGTAGCGGTACTCCCCTATCAAAATATTATTTCCAACCCTGTATAGTCTCTACTATTCTTTGTTTGGATTTTAAAGCAATGTATTTTTTCTTTTGTCATCAGAATTTGTTGAGAAACTTTTTTGAAGTTTTTATTATATTGAAATGTCAAATAAAAAGTTTAATTCGAATATCTCTAAATTAATATTAGTCTATTAATACATCATGATTTTACGTTGAAATATTTTTTTTGTTTTTGATAAATAGACTTTGTAATGATATAATTTAAAAATAGAATCATTTATTTATTAGAATTAAATGAATTGTTTTTTGTAGAAATTTTCTATAGGATAATCTAGACCTATTCAAAGAGAAAGCTTATAATAATGAAAGATTTCTTTTTTGCTTAAAAGTAAATTTTCTTTTTCAAGTAACTTTTTTTGGAATTTTTTCTTGAAAGAAATTTTCTAGATCAATTATGAATAAATCATATTTTCATATTATGAATTTTATTCTTTGACATTTATCCAACAAAATGAAATAATGTACAAATTCAATTGAAGTGTTATTAAAATCGTATAATTACGACAGCAATCGACTTCGAAAAAATAAATATGTTATAATGCTAAAAGCTTTTTTTGTATTGTAACCAATATATATATAAATAACGAAATTATTGAATTCCGGTGATACTTTCATAATGAAGGAATCTCATTGAGAACTATAGTTATGTAAACATTAAATACAAAAAATGTCAATTTTGAAAATGATCATGACTAAAGATGAAAGCTCTCTAGTCACGAATCTCCTTAGACTTTCTCTAGTTTTAATAAGATCTAATTAATGAAATTCGATTCATCACTTGACGATGTTTTCTTATTAGTTCAACTTACAAGAGAATCTCTTCAGATGTCTCTTTCCAATATTTTTCGCTTACACATACTACATATTATTCTAATGAAAGTCCTAAAAGTATTTGAGTTCATATTATTGGAACTATTGAATTTTACATATGCCTATCTACTACAGACCCGTGTAGGACTTCAAGTTTTCTTTGAATTCTATTTTGAAACTATCTCAATTTGAAGATCTCACGCACAATAACTAGTATGACGAGTTCTCGAGTTTGTATCTGCGAGAGCCGTTCATATAGACAAAGATTTCAAGACAAAATTCAAAAATACTACTTTCTCCGAAAACCTAAAGTTCTACACGGATAGGCCTGCAAGGTAATTCACAGTTCTATAAATTGTTTTTTTTTTCGAGAATTGTTTCAAGTGATCAGTTCTTTTCAAAAGAATTGAATGAGTAATGTCAACTCAAATTCTCGATCGCGAATTGTCACAAGTTTATACACAGACCTCTGGTAAATAGATATATCTAAAATTTAATATAGCTTCATCAAAATGTCAATATGAAATCAAGTCCTTTTAGAAGTTTTACTAGAATATAATACAGTATCTATGAATATTTATACTATTTCCAACTTATACAAATTATGTCTTGTATTTAGAAATATATAAATTATTGAATATCTTCTTCTAAACTTACTAAAGCATCATTATAATTTTTAATCGATTCATTAATAGCTTTTCGACAATCTTCTTCAGCTTGTTGAAGTTCAATAGAACGTTGATCTAATTCATTTTGTTTAGCATAAAATAAATGATCAGCTGCTTGTTGTTGTTGTTGTGCACGTTGTTGATCTTCTTGTTGCATACGTGACCATTCACGTAATTGTTCTTGTTGATATTTTTTTCGTGCACGTGAATTAAGATCTTCACCTTGAAATTTTTGTAAACTAGATAAACCACAACGTGGATCATCATCAGATACACGTGCTGGCATATCTTTTTTTAAATAATCTGGATCATTTAAATCCCATTCTCCTGATTAATTTTAAAAAAAAAGAAAAACAAAAAATAATTATTAATTTATAAAAAAAAAAAAAAAAGGAATTTTCTATTTGATACTTTGTGCAGGTGGTTGTTGATGTAAAGCACGAAATTCATTTATTGCTCGATTATTTTCTCTTTCATCATATTCTTGACGACGTTCAAGTAATTGAGCTATTTTATCATTTCGAATAGCATCTTGAGCTAAATATAATAAATTTTGTTTTTTAAATAAAACAAAAAATATATACAAATATTATTTTACCCAATGCATTTGCACGTTTTTGTTCAAGTTCTTCTAACCAATTTCGATCTTCAATTTGTTGATTTAATGCTTCCTTGTCAATCTATATTTCGATAAGAAAAACAAAAAAAAGAGCATTTATTTATAATTTTAATAATAAAAAAAATGTATCAGTACGAACGCCTATTTGTCGATATTTAGCATTGAATATTCTTCCTTGACGTTCTTTTTCCGCTCGACGACGTCGTTCTATAGCTGCTGTTTCTTTTAAATCAAGTGGAATATCGAGTTTATACATATTGAATTAACTCAAACTCAATATATTTTTCAAATAGAAGAAATCAAATATGTGGAACAAAAAAAAAAGTAATAACAACAATAAATTCTACCATTAACATTTCTCATTGCCATGACAATTGTTATAACATAAGGAAACAATATCATTTTCGAGCGACCTCTGTTAACATTTTAACATTATACCAAGTATTCCATAGAACACGAAAGTCATTGCTATTTCATTGATTCTGTTTAATTAAGAAGCGAGTGCAAAAAAGAAAAGACGGAAATTAAAGCATTTGAAACCATCACGATACACATTTCCTTGAATGATACTATAGCAATGATTAATCTATGAACATTTGATGTTCTCAATAGTCTATCAAAAGATCTAACTATTAAGTTGGCATAATCGACGAATTGTTTTCTCTTTTTTTCTTTCTTTTCTTTCACTTGTCATGATCCGCAATCAATGATAAAAATAAAAATCGTTCATTTTTATCATTCTAATATGATCAATCAAAGATGATTATATTTCTTAGTAGCTGATGTGTTTCTATTCATCTTATGAAAATAAACATAAAACATTTTAACACAATGCTACTACAAACAAAACAAATTGGTGGAATGTCAATGCTATATATTTTTATTGTTCTATCATTATCAAAAAAAAGATTATTCATTTGTTCTATCATAGATTGGAATACCATCAGATGTAACAACGAATAACTCAATTAATAGGGTATATCTCATTCGATGTTGATGTCATTTCATACTATACATATATAAAAAAAATCTTATTTAATATGTCCTTAATAATTCTATTAATTTGGTCGTTTGTTACAGGTAGATTTTTTTTTTTTTGTGTGTAAAATTTTATTTCTAATTGAATGAACATGAATAGGAATTGTATGTGATGTGGAAATGAATTTGACTCGTATGTTACTAAATCCAATTGTTTATGATAAATCTATTCGACCTGCTTTAAATCATCGAGATGTAACAAATGTTTCATTTGATTTATCACTTGCTCAATTAATTGATGTAGATGAAAAAAATCAAATTATAACAACAAATCAATGGATAACTATGGTATAAAATTACAATAGACAGTTTTTTTTTTGATAAAAATCTTAATTTATTTCTTATCTATTATCATTTCTAATAGATTTGGCGTGATCCAAAATTAAAATGGAATCCATTAGATTGGGATAATGTTAGTTTACTTCATATTAAATATGATAAAGTTTGGTTACCTGATATTGTTTTATACAATGTAAGTTCGACAAAAAAACCAAAGAAAATCATACTTATTATTTCGTTTCTTTTTTTTATTTTGATATGAAAATAAATCTTGAGATTTAATAGAAAAAAATATTCTAAAAACAGTAAATCTTAAAATCTACTACTTGATAAAAGAAATCTATTAGTGCAATTCCTATAGGATTAACATGTGAAACACGATATTGATAATCACATGGAAATTATTTTATTATATCTATTTTGGAATTCATATTTTCACCATCCTTTTACTTAATCTTCCAGAAATGCAATAAAAAAGTAGTTCATATAATAGAATGAAATATTATTGATATAAGGTCTTTGATGAACCGTTTTCAACATATCTGTGACAGTCTATCGATCCTGTTTGTAGAGAATGCAAATTTCTATTCTATATATTTCAATATTCATTTTAGATTGTGTTTCATAAAAATGTTAGTTACTAAGAAAAACTGATTTCATACGATTGAAATCTATGTAAATTTTCATCAGGGTTCTTTTAGCCGGAGTTTTGTGTTGTTTCCAAAAATAAGTTCAGAAATTTTGTATTGTTGATGAGTAGTGAAAGAATTTTTAAGAGATTTAAAAAAAAATTAGTTTGTAGAGAAATATTTTCTATTGAGAACTGAAACTTGGTTCATATAATTAGATTGTTGAGTGTATTGTGCTCTACAACATGTACTATTACATCTTTCGATAAAATACCAGAACATGCTTTACTATCATCTTTATTTTTGAAAAAATGATTCGTAAAACGGTATGATGCCGAAATACGATTGTAATACGCTCATATAGGACGATTTACGAGCGTACTTGTTCGACCTGGACTCTCCGGACGAACATTACGATAGTTGCAAGCGATCATACACAACCAAAACGACTGATCATACATGATTGTATACGATGTCGTGTACTATCGTAGTCATATATTCTGCTTACTTAAGAGGGAGAGACTTTTCCCTCTTGTTTAAACACGAAGTTTCATATAAAAAATTATTTCTTTTAAAATAAATCCTTATACTTAAATATATTCTTTGATTCAATCTAATTGAAAATAAAATTATTCAATTAAAAATAATATTTACTTTTTATTATGTTGTTCGAATTATTCTAAATAAAAGAATTATTTTTTCAAAAGAAATACTTATTATTATCTTTTAAATCTATATTCTCGATAAGTGCAATTCAGCTTACGACCAAATACAATCGCACTAATTATTCGTATTTGAACGTATGGCGTCATACGGCTTGTCCAAACGTAACGCTGTTACGTTTTTGATATACTCTTCTCCAACTTTCTCGAAAAGTTTAAGAGTTAGGAAATTCGTTCAAACGTCATTCGACGCAGCTTATCGAACTTCATTTATCATATAAAAATGACCTTTTTTGATTGAAGTCTCAGGCATCTAGAAATTTTTTATCATGGCGTAACGCTGTTACATAAAAGGACCCTTTTTTTCCAGTGCCACTGAGAAAACTCTAATTTCTTGCGAAATCATTTCTTCAAATGCAATGCTTCAAGAATCACTTTTGTAGAGCATTGAATAGACTTTCAGGCAGTAAAAAAGATTTTCTCTAAAACATTTTTGTTCAAATAAAAAATGCAAAAAACAAACGTAACGCTGTTACATTTTTCGTAACGCTGTTACACAGTTTTTTGTTGACCAATTTTGAGGCACTTAGTGTACTCGGAATTACTTGATTTTTATAATTGTTACTGTTTTATAAGTAGACAATCTCCTCTGCAAAAATTAGATTGATACATCGATCTGAGAGCTTATAAACTGGGCAGGAAGTTGGAAACTTCATCGAAGCTTTCAATCCATTCTAAGCTACCAAAGTCAAAACTAAATAGATCATTTTGTAGAGAATTTAATTCTGCATCGAATGGTATGTCTCTTAGCCCTTATTGAAAAAATTTCTTGGTTAAAAAATCCAAAATACGGTTTTTGAAAACTTTAAAATCCGATTTTTGATATCAAAATCTGATTTTTATGCTAAATCAATATCAAATTCGTAATCAGCGTAAAAAACTGCATCTAATAGTCCAATGAGATCTGTCCAACTCGAAAAAAAATTTTTTCAAAACTTGATCAGCGAAGTGTCGCGTTACGCGGACAAGCCGCATATATGGCAATCGTTTTTTTTTTGACGTATTTCGTAGTATAAGACCGTTTACGATGGTGATTTTTCGACCTGATCTATAGCTGGAATACTTTCAAGAGGATTAAAGATTAATAAAAATTTCGGCATATTTATTATTATTTTAGAATGCTGATAATCTTGCTTCGTTAAGTCAAATATCAACAAATGTTATGGTTTCTTCTGATGGTATGGTTACATGGTTATCAACGGGTATTTTTCGAAGTTCATGTTCGATTGATGTTCGTTATTTTCCTTTTGGTAAAACACAAGAAGAAAAATAAAAAAGATTTTTTTTGAGAAAAATATTTGATTATAATAATTATTTATTTAAATAGATGAACAAAATTGTACATTAAAATTTGCATCATGGACTTATGATAGTGCTCGAATTGATTTAACACAAAAATCAAATATTGGTGATTTAAGTAATTTTATGGCAAATTCAGGTTTAAATAAAAATTCTCTTTGTTTTAATGAGTTTTGTTTTTGTTTTAGAATGGGAAATTATTAGACTACATGTTAAAAAAAATGTTGTTAAATATTCATGTTGTAAGTTAAAAACAAAAACTTAAATAAATAATATATATATATATGAGATAAAATTTTTAGGTGAGGAAACTTTTCCTGATCTAACTTATACAGTACAAATGCGACGTCGTCCATTATTTTATGTATTTAATATGATGTTTCCATGTTTTCTTATAACAATTGTTGCTTTTCTTGGTTTTTGTGTACCATCTGATAGTGGTTTGTTTGATGATAATTTTTATATTTATTTTAATATAAATTTTTCTTTTTAATTAGGAGAAAAAGTTTCAATTGGTGTAACAACACTTCTTTCAATGACAGTTTTTCTTATGCTTGTTGCTGAAAGTATGCCACCAAATTCAGATTCATTACCATTAATTGGTATGTTAATAGAGAAAAGATTTTAAAAGAAATTTTTTTTTTTTTTAATAAAATTCAAACGATATTATTCAATTAACTTAAGAATAGGATAGAGTTCTTAATTAACTTTTTAATTTTCAGAATAGACTTTTTAGTACATTTGAGAGGGTTAATTACAGAATATGCATCAGACATTTCCTTATCTTATCTTTAATCATATATTCAGTTCTTCTCAATCACAATAATAAAATTGCAAATTCTTATACTATATCGAAAATCAAAACATACACAACTGCAGAAAATATACAATCTTATCTATATAAAAAAAAAAGAAACAATGTTTTCAAATCAGTTCTAATTCTATCAGTACTGTTCTATGACATTGACAAAATGTGTATCATCAAAAAGAAAATCATACAAACCGAAAACACTATTAATATCGATTAGAAACATTTGCTTCTCTTATATTTGTCCACTGAATAATATCGAGTTTGAATTGCATTACTAATCAGCTCCATTCCTTGTTGTGTATTTACTAGGGAGTTGCGGATCCTTTCAAACTCGGACCGGGCCGAATCGAAATTTTTTTTGTTTTTTTTTCGAGTCCGGATTCAACCTTTTATTTTTTGTCTGGTCCGATTATAAGTTTTTGTGAATCTGCTGCTCTCCAGATGAGAAGTATAGCAACAAAATATAACTGTACATTGA